ATAGTGCAATAATAAATGTCATAACGAAATGGTGGGTGTTCTCGAACATAAATGGGGTAGAATGGCAAGATAATTATTATTCCAAACAATAGAAAGTGCAGCCCAGCGCAATTTGACACTGGCCTTTGTTGTAAGAGCCAGTAAGTGTTAATATCAGCTTTGAAATGGACTATTGCAAGGAAGCGAGGTCTCTGCCAGGCACATTCTGAATATCCATTAGACATTAATATTCCACTCTTCCATTGTCCCTCTAAATTCAGCACATTCAGATTTAGATTGAAATTAAACCTTTTACAGTATAGCTCCACTTGCAGAGGAATTGAATTTTCTTGCAAAATAATGGTCCTTCCTCCAGAAACTTCAGTTTTAGGGCCATTTGATTGCTTGGAAAAACCAGGGGTAGATTTTGACTGTGAACCAAATGCAAACATCATAAACCCTAACTCAAATCAAAATAAAATTCAGTTTCAGTGGGTGGTCTACAGGTTATTATTGGAAAGAATAATAAAAAGCACTGCTTGAATATCAGGAAAAAAGTGGGTGCTAGAAATAATATCATACGAAAGCTGACTGGCACAACCTGGGGATCACAACCAGACACAGTGAAGACATCTGCCCTTGAGCTTTGCCACTCTGATGCTGAATATGCATGCCCATTGTGGATTACATCTCATCACATGAAAACAGTGGATGTGGCTCTTAATGAGACATGCTGCAATATCACAGGATGTCTACACCCAAAACCACTGGAGAAATTATACTGTTTAGCCAGTATCGCACCACCTGACTTCGGTCAGGGAGTGGAAGCCTGTAATGAAAGGAACAAGGCATTGATATCTCTGCCCCAACCTCCTTCCAGATATCAATCAACTGTTGCCCTCCAGGACAGGAATAACCCTCTGACTTTATAACACCACATGTTGAATAGGAAAACAATCCTTTTATTGAAGATAAGTAAAAACAGCAAAGTAAAAAAACACTTTAAAGGAATGGGTAAATCCAATTAAGTAGAAAGATAAGCAGGAACAAATTAGTCCAAGGTAGAGTTTGGTAATGCTCAAAAACAAAGTAAACAATTCTCTAACAAAATCCAAAGAACCAGGAAATGTTGATCCAAGGCATGAGCAGATAATCACAAAAGACAAAAAAAGCAAACAAACGAACTAGGAAACAAGAAATCCTTAAGCAAGAATCTTCAAAGCAAATCTTCTCTAAGATGAGGACAAGAACTTGGCATGATTCTAAATGATGCTTCACCTGACTGTATTTTCCATGCTTGGAACTTTTAAGCCTTTCCAAGCACCCAGAAACTGGTTTCGCTTTCCTTGAGCAGCCGTTATCTTTTTCTGTTGAAGCCTGGCAGAACGCCGAAGGCATTGCTCCGCCTGTCTGTTCTGACTAATTTCCACCCGCCTATCTATGTGCTCATTAGTTTCTGCAGGTGCTGAGCTGTTTTCAAGCCTCACATCCTGGGAACTCTCTGGGAGCAATTCAGGGAGTAAACCGTCATCCCTATACCCTGTAGGAACATTCTCATGGGAAACTACACTTGGAACAGATGTCTCTCTGTCATTCACTGCATCAATATCACTGACCAAACCATTGCCATCTTGAATCTCATTTACATTATTCCCCACATCCAAAGCACCTTGATCCTGAAACACAATCACAGGCTGAACTCCTTAAGCAATCCAACGCCTTAAGTCAAGACATAGCTTCCTAAGATTTACAGAGAAACTCACAGGAACACCTCAGCAAACGAGAGTCCAAAAGTGGCAGGCTAAAACTCAGAACCTCAATCAGTGGCTGATACTAGATGAGAGACTCTCTCCTGGGCACACAGAAGATTGGGTGACCTGGAAGGTGCTGAACAGGCCTTAAGAAATGGAGCCACAAAGTGGAGTCCACAACATGTGAGTGTAGAGAAAAGCAAACCATGGACCACCTACTATAATGCAACCTTAGCCCAATGGAGGACCTTCTCACAGCAACACCAGAGGAACTCCAAGTGACCAGCTTCTGGTCAAAGGACATTTAGCATAATGCCAAGTTTTTAACTTTGTGTTTTTAAATACATCATTCCATGCCGAGACTTCCCTAGGAGGAGCGGCTCAGGACTTCATGTCATCCATGGCAACCATGGGGCTGTCCCAA